TGAGATTTTATCACTTGTATATTGTTAATATTTCTATATCTTGTACTTATATCGAAGTTTCCATGTTTTCTTTTGAACTATATATGTTGTTTAAAATTGATATTGAATATGGCTACAGCCATATTTGGATTTGATACTCTAGCAGTAACGGACTGGAAGCACTTATTCTTCCAGCAACGGAACCTATTGTGGTAATTGGAAACTCGGTGTAACATTGTTTTGGTAATTGTCTGAATTTCCACTTTTGATTAAATATAGAACCGTTCTCTCCCAGAATTATCGTTTTTGAACTTGGACTGGGCGGACGCGTATGAACCTACACCATGCGGGTTAAAAGCAAACTGAAAGAGTAAATTATTATTTTATAGAATCCTCTTCGCTTCTAATGGACCTTCAGATCTTCTCATAGTCTGCGTAGATCAATGCCCGTGAGCTAACTGAGCCTAGCACGTCCTTAATAAATTTCAGGAAGAGGAGTGGGCCCAGGGATGGTCCCCTGTGACACTCCCTAAGTGGATACTCTCCAACTCGCGGTGCGAAACTTTCTATTCTCAAGGTAGTTTCTCAGCCAAGATAGGAGTGGGTCAGTGAAGCCCATTTCCACAACCTTTTCGATTAGGCGTGCGTGGGGCACTGTGTCAAAGGCCTTTGCAAAGTCGAGGAATATTACGTGTACCGGTATTTTACGGTCTAAACAGGATGTCCAACTGTCCCATGCGATGAGGAGATCAGATGCACACGACCTGTCTTTCCGAAACCCGTGTTGAGCATCATGGAGTATTTTATTCTTTTTCATGTACTCCCTCATTTGTTCGTCCACTAACCCTTCCGTAACTTTTGATAATATTGGTATTAGTGCGACTGGTCTGTAACAGGCTGGGTCCTTTCTATCTCCTCCCTTGAAGATTGGAGAGAGAGAGGAGCTTGTTTCCATTCAGCTGGGAATTGGTGTGACTCCAGTGAATGCCTGAACAGGTCCCATAACGGTGAACAGAGGACTTCAGCACACTGTTGCAAGACTATAGGGCGGATTTTGTCACAACCTGGTGACTTACCTGTGCGTAAGGATTTTAGTTTCCTTAGTACTAGGTCAGGAGTGATACGGATGTTCCCTAAGCCGTCAGCTGGCATTGGGTTGGCGTAATACTCTGAACATGTAGGCGCCTGGTTTAATTGATCAGCAAAAGGGGTGTTGAAGATCTCGGCCATCTCTAGGTTGGTGAGGTCTTCCTCGTTTGGTCCTTTTAGAGAACACAACCCTTGATTAGCAGGACTTCTTTTCGACATGAACCTAAACAGATTTTTCGGCTTTGCCTCTATTTTGGCGGCTAGCTTCATCTGGAATTGTCTCCTGTCGTTTCAAACTTTGGAATTGCATCTGTTTCTCAATTCCAAATAAGAACTGCGATCGGAATCTTTCAAGGAGACCTTCCACTTGTGCCAGGCTCTCCTCTGTAGCAAGCGTTCAGTGCAGCGCCTAACCCAGGTTCTTCTGTTCCCGCGTTTTGGGTGTGACTGAGGTATGTTGTCAACGACAGTGTTTTGGATGATGTCTCTCACTGCTTGCCAGTGATCATCTACTGTCAGCCTCCACCACTCCCGTGGCCATGGGGCATGTAGGAGCACCTCTCTCATGCGTGTATAATTTGCCCTATTGTAGAAAAGATAGTGCTAGTTTTTGTCCTGTGTGAGTGTTTCATTTGTCACCATGTTACACAAGACTGTGCCATGGTCACTACTTCCTGATGGTGCGCGGGCGTGAACATCCTCAACCAGGAGCTGGTCATTAGTTAACAGATAGTCCGGGTTTGAGGATTTCCCTTCCTTAGTCCACCTAATGGCACTGCATAAGTGCTCAGTCAGCCCAGAGCTTCTAACGGCTGTACCAAGTTGTCTTCGGAACCAACCAGTGGAAGTTATACTCTGATTGCTGAGATTTAAAGATGGGGTATTGAAATCTCCAGCCAAGAGTATTTGATCAAACCCCAAGAGTGGCAGTTGCTGTATTACCTCAATCAGTTTGCTTTTCTTGGCCTTAGTACCCGAAGGAGGTCGGTAGATCCCTCCAATCAAGTATTTCGTGCCATTCGAGTGGAAACAACACCAACATGATTCCGTCACCTCAGTTCGTTGGGTGTCGTACAGTCGCTCTGCTTTTAAGTGGCTATATATATATATATATATATATATATATATATATATCGCCACTCCACCTGCAGTTTGGTGTTCCCTATCGCTTCGGAAGAGTGTCATACCTGGTAAGCTCACTTCTGCGTTCGCAATGTCAGGGGATAACCATGTTTCAGTTAGGATTATGATCTTCAGATCCATCTGAGAGCACATATTCCTGATTTCTAACAGCTTACCCCTTAGTCCTCTAACGTTGCTATAGAGGCACTTGGTGTTTTGTCTCAGCGCCTGGTGCACATTTGCAGCAGCAGCCGTTGTCGGATTTACAGACAAGTTATTCAAACCGAGTCGGCCAGTTCTGTGGGGACTGGCCTCTGCAGGTTTTTTGCCTGCGCGGTTGATTCAATCATGTCTTGTGCCAGAGGTAGTTGACTGAGTTTAACTATCAGTTTTGTGTGTTCATTTTGGCCTCCCTGCTGTTGTCTCACAGATCTAGGTCGGCACTCGCAACATCTGATGTGGCTAGGCAGATCGTTCCTCGAACTGTACCAGGATTGTAGTGTTTCGGTCAGGTCTTCCCGGTTCCTAAATGTTACAGCAATCAGGCGTGGTGACTTGATAGACGTAAGAAGTGACGGGCGGGGCAACCTGGAAATGCAAACTGCCATCGTGGTGTGGAGGGACAGGATACGCGATGGCCATCGCCACTGTTACACATCGTGCTCGTGAGCTTCGTCCGGGTTACCGCTGGTGATTTCGGGTATACCGTGAACTACCATGGTGGTCTGTTCTGTGGTGCGTGGCGCAGTCCTGGCTGCTGCACGTGCCGACCACGGCTTGTCATGCCTGATACGAATCAGCGAGGACAATTTGACCGATGGTCTTTAGGATGAAAGGATAATGTCTTCAGCAAGTCGTGCCGAATCAAGAGTTACCCTCATTGGAGGGGATTTTCTTTTCGAGACATTTCGGTCTTTGAAAAGGCGGCATATTTTGGCTGGGACGTCGCACATTCCGAGGGCTGAGCAGAGTTTATCCCATTGCTCTTTCTCGAAGGCAGCCCTACCTTCTAGCGAGCTTTCTTCCGATACTGGGACATTAAATAAAATGAGTGAGTTTGATCTGTCGTCCCTGTTCTTGGTGGAAGCCGCTTGTGAGTTGGGGTGTTGCTCTTTCCCTTCTTCACGTTCACCCACTGTTTTGTATTGCTAGCAGATACTGGGGGGTTAACAACAACCGGCAGTTTTGTCGGTGTGTTAGGCAGGGTTGTGGTGGCCTTGGTCACTTGTTTTACTGGTTTAGTGCCAGGCAATTTTGGTTTGGTCTTTTGGACTTTAGGTCTGATTTTGGGTGGGACCTGTGGCTTTGTCAGTGCCTCAGAGACTCTACACCGAGGGGAAATGTACCAAAACCATGGGAGGGGATGACTCAGCATGAATCCGTAGTACTCTTTGTAAATGGATTTCTACAGTGGCCGTTCCAATGGGTTCCAATAGGTGCACTCCTGTACTCGATTCTCCCAGTCCCAGGTCCAAACAAATCAAAAAAGGACAAAAATTCTAGGAGAAAGCGGTCTGGAATTAATGCTCCTTCCAGGATACAATTACTCCGAAGAGTATCAGAAATAACGATAGATAAGTGACGTTAAGTCCAGCGGCTACTGTATCAATCCAAATATGGCTGTAGCCATATTAAAGATCAAATTTAAACAACATATATACAATCAGAAGCAAACACAAAAACTTCAATATAAGTACAAAATATAGAAATAATAACAATATACAATGATAAAATCTCAAATTGGAATCAAATAAAATACCAAAAATGTCAACAGAAAAAGTCCGTCATGTCATAACAAAAATATGTAAACATGGAGGAATTTTCCAAAAAACAAAACATTCAAAAAGGATTCTACACTCTTTAGGTACTGTAGTGTCGCAGTGACAATGTACCGATGTACTACAGAATTTGCATTCGAAAGCACGGTCGCTGATTTTGACTGATAATGAGCAGGCAAACGCAGTCATCCTTATGCTGTTTCTGGGCATTGGACTGCGTTGACTGAGCGTTACAGCGTCTTTTTCTCCTATTCTTAACTAGCTTACTGGCCTTTTTAGGAATAGGAATGTTGTCTTGCTTCCTCTGCGTTGAGTGATCTAAAGTATGGACACGGAGAGGCGTACTATCGACTGACTGTTTGGGTTTTTTAGCAACCCTTTCGCACGATATTGGGATTTTCGATGTACTATCGATTTCGGGGTTTATGCCTCTATAAGTTTTCCTGGTTGTTACAGTGTAATGTGTACTAGTGACCTTATTACTTGACATGATACCAGGGAGAAGAGGAGGTGAATACCGAGATAATAAGAATACGAGTTACCTAAATTTTTGTGTTTCTCATCTACTGTGTTTTGCGGGTATATTGTGATGATGACTCTTATAGCTCGTTCGAGATCTGAATACCTATTATCTGCTGCTTGCAGTCTATCTGGGGTTTGCCATAAAGTTACGTTATCAGTTCGCCCACTTTAAGAATCTTCAGAGACTTTATGGAGTTGCGCTTTTCGTATTCTTGATCCCCACTGGGTAATCAGGATTATTATAGAACGTGAAGTTATAAACTCGATGAAGAAGCAGTGAGACTCCATTTAGTCTGCACGGCGTCTCGACGTAAGAATTTCTAAATAATAACCTCTCATAACAGTCTTATGTGCTATCTACCAGTCTGTCACCAAAAACGGTTCTCTAAAGTTAAAGATGATTAAAATTCCTAAGTAATCGTAATTTTCGTACGCTAACTAATAGAGAATGTTTTAAATCACATACCACTCTGTAACATGTATTGTATATTGAAGAGTATCCAGTGGGAATTTGACGTGAACGTTACTCGAGGATGCTCTGATATCGACAAAATGGTCCAGCTCTCTTCATGGGTGGATCTTTGGGTATTTTTCTTACTTTTAAGATTTAATCCCTTAAATCTTATACTATTTAACCATTTAATAGTATTTCTAAGTGTCCTAAATAGGAAATCGGTCGCTTAAACTATTTTTCGGGGTTTTGGAGATATGACGGTATGTGGAGAGCATTCTGCCAAATCAATGTAGGAGGAGCTTATCGACAGTATAATGAATTTCTGGAGCTTAGGGCAACGTTTCTAGAGATCCGATGCAGGTTTTAATCTAAATGCGAATTTTGTTCAATCGGAATTCTTGTCCATAAATGGCTAGGATACCTCTTACTGCTGCAATACGTGCTCTTCCTAACACAAACTTGTGCAGCAACCTATTCATGACCATTTGCAAGTATTGTGTGAATTAAGATTATTGTGTTGGTATTAAAAGTTTCCCGAAAATTGTGCACTTCCATCCTATGATTGCAGGACAGTGTGAATTTGTGTTGAATCATGTCTGCTCAACATTCTCGTCTTCATCCGAATGTTTGAGAATTTACGTTACGCGAAATACTTTCTTTGCTTGTTATATAGAGGCGAATTCTCTGGATTAATTTCAACAAGTACAGTGGGAAAGTAAAACCATATTTTAACTTTCCTGCCTACTAGTAGTCACTTCTCTATCAAGGGAATATGATAATGGTTACTCCTTAAGACTACATATTCACCTTGTCCAGTGTATTTCCATTACAATGATCAAAATTCTTTTTTACACTGTTAAATTACAACTTTCGTCACCTAAATAGTTTGGTATAACCGGTCTTAACAAGATTTTTATGTCATACTGTTGTTCAACTCTGGTCTTTATTTAAATTGCTGAAAAAAATGAACGTCTCTAGTCCCGATTCTTGACTGATATTACTCTTATATCAATATCGAATAGGTTCCTCGTATTTGCAAGCAACATGGGAAATTTTTCACCCTTCTTCATTATCTTCTGCCTTAAAACGAATTTTTACTATAAAAATACCAATAATGATTGGCTTTTAATTAAAATTTCAAGTCCTTTTTAATTAGCGTTGACGGTAGTTAGTTTTTAACTTAAGGGCGCGGTTTCGAACCACTCCGCGACTCCTTACAAAACCATGAAGGCTTCTTCGACGTGTGTGACGAACGCGAACCATTAGTTCTGCGGCTACCCGACAATTCACTGTTTTGTTTTCACAAGCTTCTACATATAGGAATAGAGTTAAATTCTTGATCGGAAAGTCAGGAGTGCATAGTCATATCGACATAAGATACCACACCTATCCAGGATAGCAAATTAAAGGTGTCTTCTCGATCGTGTTTCTACTTGAAGTTAAAAGTAATCATCCTACAAAACATCTGGTTCTTAGTTAATTTTGCTTGCTTGATGCATGTGTAAAGGTTGGTAGAAACAAATGTGTCGGTGGTCAATAGCATCATCTTAGCAATAGTGATCGTTGGCGTTGCTCAAAAAATCTTTATTTCTGGTTAATGTTCACACTCCTTCTGTTCGCAAATATCTGTTTCCGTGTTTCCATGAAGTCACTGACAAGTGGACTGAGTCATGTTGGTAGATGTAGGCTATCTCGTTGGGGTCCGCGAGTTGATAGTCACCGATGGTTAGAGACCTTGAACGACATGGCTCAGAATCGTTTGCAGTGGCGCAGGTGCATCCACTCTTTGTGTTCTATGAAATTCTAAGCTTCTGCGTCCATGATCTCTACCTTTCTACTTCTAAATTTATCTTACTGAATTATACTTTTCGAATCATATCTTCGCTCCCTAATCTTCTTCATTACTGCTAATACTTCTATTATTGCTATCACTCTTGGATTTGAACTGACAGTTGCGTCTCTGTGCTGATGGGACATGGCAACCTGAACTGATGTACTTATGTACGAAGTTCTGCGTTGTATGTATCTGTCTATCTGTACTTAAGTAGGTGCAAATTCTCTTACCGTGATTCCTTAAAGGATAAAATTTTCAAGTATACGCTCAAAGAGTTAACAATACAGCTAATGGAGCATAAAACCAGTATTTAGTTTACTGTTTTACTAGAAGCAAAGAAAGTAAGCTTCAAAAATTTTGTAATAACCTTCAGATTGCTGAAAACTTATATAGATAATTAATACCCAGAATCACTCCGGTTTATTCACGACCAAAATTAGAAACAATTAAAATACGTATTGGTTAAAAATGACCAAGAATGGCAGTAGTTAGTAATATAGAGAAAGTCGTAGAGGTATTACCATTAAAAGTTGTCTATAGTTATTTGAAGTAATCAAGTAAATTAGGTCTGGAATCTAAGTGTATTTTATTGCTAATGGCCGTCTAAACTCATTTGCATATATGTTTTACTGGCTTTCATAAAATATGTTCTATATCATTTTTCACATCCACTTATGCAATACCTAAATTGGTCCCGGTAACTGTCTTTATTTTCAACTGTCTTAAGAATGATTCTCTTATCTATTCTTGAATAAAATTGCCTTAATTTCCATTAATCGCTCCATCAATTTTTCAGAAAAAACTAGTTATTTTTAAACTTAATAATAATCTACGTAACATAATCTGACTGTAATAACCTTTGTTTAGTGACTTTTGTTTAAATGGAACTAGTTTATTAGTGGTTTTTTCTAAAAATTATAACCTTAATTTTCTCTTCATTTGGCTTATTTTTGTAGGATCAAGCGACTGATTTTATCAAATATCATGATACTGGTATAAATCTTCATGAAAGATTATACAAATTTTTAATTGATTTCGCTAAGCTACAAAAAGATGCATTTATTGCACAAAAGTAAATTTGTCTATTTATATTATGCTAAATTTTCCTTATTAAGACGATTATGTGAAAAACATTTGTCTGATGCACAAAAGTGTTATGGTGTCTCTAACAGTTATGTGTCGTTTTTTAATGAACTTATACAAATTGTTCAGCATATCATAGATGCTGAAAATTTGATTTCATGCTCTTTTGAAATACATGCTAGTAGTGAGGGTAAATCGATTATTGAAGATGAAAGGCGACAATTGAAACGATGGAAAAATGAAAGGTTAGATACATTGATTTTCATGTTTAACAGTTTTGTTTGTTTTGTGATCTATAATAATAATGATAATGACAGTAATGATAATAATATAAAAATAGTATCCATCACAGGGTGACATGTATCGGAGAACAATTAAAGGGCATGGGGGTATCGAGAAACTTTCATTTCATCCTTCTCCACCGAATCAAACTCAAGAATCTTTATTCCCGTGATATCTGGAAGTTAAAGTGTATATATTTCCCAATTTAACGGATTTCCAATGTAGTGTGATGATAACCGTAGTATAACTTATTAGGGGCAAATTGAGCGTACGATTACACATTAATAGGATGCGTTTTTATTCGACGCGGTGCAACTTTCATTGTAATTACTTCAGTATGATTTCCGTCCATTTGATTTGTTTTACTAATGGAAGTTTCTGTGACGTCAGTTCAAGGTAACAACTTCTCTGACTGCTAATCACTGCGAATAAGTCTGTGTATAAATAAATTCATTTTTATGGATTGTTTATTTAAATACATGTTGGCACAAATTGGGTACCGAAATAGTGTACTCCTCATTAGTGAGCGAGGTAATAACAGGCTAATGAGGGTGGGTCTAATTAAGAAATAATTATATGAACAAAAATAAGTGAAAAAGTGGTATACAATGAACCCTATGAATAAATTTTCTGGACAGAGTATTGATTCTATCCCCGGACGGTGGACAAGGAAGAGTGGAATAAAAAGTATCTCTTGTTCGTTATCAATAAAATGTGATTCGGCAAATGTTCACTTAGTGCTTAGATGTATCAGTGATCTTATACCATTGATGATCTCAGTCTATTCAGTATACCTTCGTTTTTATTGATTCTTAGGGTAGTGCTAGTCTGTAATAAAATGATCTGACCACAACAAACCGCTCAATCAGATATTACTATTCGTTATTATTCTGTATTTCCTATAGATCAAAATTATCAAGTGAACTGAAATCTCAAACACGTATTATCGATGATGAGATTAAACGATACCGCGATAAATATCGTGATATGGTCAAGGCTAAAGAGGACTATGAACGCATCAACGCTGATCAGAGTCATTCACAATTCGATGTCGAAAAGGTTAATCATGTACTTATTGCTGTTATTTTTGTTTTTATGGTTTATATTTAGTTTGAACTAGACTATTTTCTACTTTGAGCATAAGGTTTCTATAAAACGTGACTCATGTTAATAAGGTTATGGTTGTTTATCTTTTGATTGAGACAAATAGAAAATCCTTTTTGTGCGGTCATACTTCACCGGTTCGTTATTATGTTTCTGAATGGATTAATTTATTTACACGTATCAGCTGGGTTCCGGTGCTGTAAGTTCTAAATTATGTACTTCAAAATCAGTATCTTTGAATTTAGTGAAATTTATTCGAGAATGTGTCTTCAGTTTGTTTATGTTCTCTATTTCTTTTTGATTCATATTGGAATCGTAAATAAATCATTGTTAGACCACCATTAGAAATCTGAAAGCATTGGACATCCGTCCTAGTATGGGACTCTTAAGCAGTGCGCATTGACCCCTGCTTGCAGGACTTGAAGCCCAGGACCTTCGGTCTCGTGTGTGAATGTTTAACCTCTAAACCACTGGACCGGTATCCAACGGTGTTAATGTCTAGCTTTGATCAGTATAGGAATTTTGCGCAACTTCACCCATTGTCTTCGGTAGTTACTGCCTATACCTGACAGGGTTGAACTCCACTGGTCACGGCTTGTCACGGTTTCTCGGAGTTGTAGTGAGAAGTTGTTTATATGGTATGTATGCGTATGCGTCTTTTAGGCAGTTTCCTTCCGGCTTTAAAACAATCCATGTTTACCGTAGCAGTAAAGTCTGCCAAATATCTCACAGATTATTTTAATTGACTCATATATTTAATAGCTAACTTACTTTCAAGTATCACTGACTGCTGGACTGAACAATGTAGGTAGATGCAAACTACGTGGTTGGGGTTCGCGTGATAATTGTAACTAATGCTTAAGGACTTTGAACGGCATGACTCAAAATAGTTTGCAATGGCTCAGGTGTATTCACTCTTTCCCTTACCTTAGGTTTTAAGTCTCTGAATTCTTCATAAACTTTTCCGGTTATTTCACTTAAACTTTGTGGGAGTGTATTTAAAGTGGGTAATTTTTTATATTATCACTGATACTGTTGGTACCTGTATTACTTTGGGATTTGTCCTAACGATTTCATCTCTCTATGCTAACAGGGTATGGCAACTTGGACTGATTTACCCATGTGCCGGATTCCAATTTGCGTTTGACTGATTATATTATTGGATTACTGCATTTGTTTGTTGTGAATCCAAAGATCTATTTAGGTTTTTAATAGTAAAAAGCACAGAAATGTACTAAGTTATTCACTCTCTAATATCTTGGATTTCTCTATCACTTTTTCCGCCAACTTATATGTCATTCTTAAGTTGTCTTTAGGATTCAGTACATCAAAAATATTTGTATGAAACAACCGAATATGTTTTTAACTGAATGGTGTATGATGTGATCTCTAGACTCCGATGAATTAAATTGTGTCCTGTTTGATATCAAAATATGAAGTCCTTCAAACCTACTAAATAAATATCGTGACAGAAACAAAACAATTGCTGTAGACTTCCGGTCATGTGTAAGCCGTAAACGTCTGGTCATGGATAAGCTGTAGCTTTCGCAATTTATGTAGCAGTTTCAACACAACGACAAATTCCCCGTTACCTTTCGCTATAAATGGTCTAAAAAGAGAACTGTACATAATTGACTTCAACCGACTTATAAATGATCCGTTCAAGCCCAAAAACTATTCTGTTTGAATAGAACGATTAAACACATTAATCGAGTAAAAATATATGAGCTAATGGTATTGACCAAATGAATCCCAATAAAGTAGACAAACTCCCTTAGAACTTTAGATAATAACGTCAATTCATGTTTACATGATATCTCAGCATAAATCTATCTTGATGAAAATAAACTCGAATGGCTTATTCATTATCAATTTTTCCCTTCCTTATTTCCACTGCCCACATACATTAATCGTTACAAAATATGGGTGTGAGTGATGTATATATATATATGTATATATATATATATATATATATATATATACATATATTAGACATATGGCAAAGCCATTGTAGCACGAAAATGGAAAATATTCATAAGGTCAAGTAAATGTATGATTATTATTACCGTTATTAGCAATAGTAGGAATAATTATTGTTTTAAAACAATTAGTCCCTTTTATAAATTTTGATAGAACAGTGAGAAGACGTAATTGATCTGAAAAATGTGATGTTCTTGTTTGTAATAGTAAATGGGTGTTGCAATTATTCACGAATGTAAAATCATCTCACACCTCTGGTTTTCATTGAATTCCCAAGTTGATATCTACTTCATGTAGAACACTGACTTTTATTATTTTTAAATTGCTGACTTGATATCTGCATGCCTTTTGCATATTTGCATATTACAGTATTATCTGTTTGTAAAATTTGAATGTATACGCGAATAATTATGATCAATACCATGGTTCTGATGACTAATTCAGCATCACCAATCTTTATTATTTTTTTTCCAATCTTAGTTTTGTTACCTTTTTATGTGGTTGCTAGCTTGCCTTAAAATAACTAACATTTTTAATGATTCGTAAATATGTGTACGTGTGCGTCTGTGAATGCTGTAAATTTCGTATATCTATTTGTGCCAGAATGATTAGTCGATTATTCGTTTCGATGAATACTAGATAAAGCAGGAGATAATGTTTATGTGATTATTCATGGTGCTAATATTTGCTTAATTCATTTGCTTGAATTCTGTTTACTTGACAATAAATAGATAAACACTGTTATTCCTAATTATATGACTGTATTTGATTCTGTAAAATCTTAAATAAAAGCAATCCACTTAATGGTTATGTAAATTGTTAGCATGGTTTTTATCCTATCATTGATTAGATTTTTTTGTAGGCTTCATGACGTTTTATGGCCATTTTTTAAATCCCTATGCATAAACTAGTTATCCTTAAATATTAAGTTTTTCATTAAATTGCATCTCTGTGCTAATGTGTTATGTCAACCTGAATTGATGTACGTACGTATGAAGTTCTACGTTGTAACTGACTGACTTTTCATAAAATTTCAATACAATTAGTCAAATCACCAGCCCGTCTGTCATAATTTCGATCATGGATATCAACAACAAAGCAGTACTGATTGTTAAGAATTTATCATTAGAATTTTAAATGGTTACCAACTTCTTTGTAATTAATTAGATTATTGAATTGATTTTTCACTCATCCTATTTTTACTGACTACTTAGATCAGTGAAATGATAAACAAAATTGAACGAAGTTCCAGTTCAATATTTGCCTAATAAACTTATTATTATGATTATTAATATTTTGTTACTTTAACACAATCTATTCAACCCATAAAATAATATGTTTAAGGAATTTGTCACATGTTTGATAAGATTGATTCTTATGTTTCTATAACCTACTTCCTCATTAATTTTATCAGAAAATATTTACAAGAGTTTTTCATTTCAAGGGTTCAAGGAATACTTTATTAGTTAATATCATTACTGAACATTTTCTTTAGAAATGCTGCCTACTAAAAAGTTTTGTTATTGAAAAAAATGGAAAATACCGTAATGTTTGTTGCCTAAGTCTGTCTTCTGTAGGTACTATAATATTATATAGTGTATGCATTAGATAATGTATGTAGAATAATTAGATGACTGTTGATAATTATAAACCTGCTTATTAGGACTGTACCTGCTAATGACCTAGCTTTGTGCAGTGTCAGATTTCCTAAATATGTTGCGTTACGGCTTTCTGTCTCCTAATGATGTCTATTTTAAGTCTTATAAGAGGTTCCTAGGTGTATCAACGGATTTTTCTAGTCTCCTGGTTAGTAACTAGGTCATGGATGAGAAATTCTGCGTAAATGATTTATCGTCTATGGTACACATAAAGTCTGCGTTATCAGTCATAGTTCATTGCCATAGCAACGGAATTCATAAAAGCAAAAATGCAATTTAGCTACCAAGCGCACGGATTCGTGTGTCCAGTTTTTGTTAGCACTTTTTTTACGCAAAGTTATCTATACTATCCATCTATCAAAAACCAAAAAATACGGTGTTCAAGCTTTCAACACAGTGATTAGTAGAGCATGGTCTAAATTTGCAGTTCAGTGTTTGGAGATATAGTTCATAACCATCCAGTCGTTACTCAGCTTATAAAGTTTAACCCAAACAAACATAAGTTAATTACAGTTTGAGTAATTTCAGTTAGTCGTTGAAGATATTGGGCAATACAACTCAGAATCTTTCACAATGATCCAGATGCATTCACTTCTTATCTTCTCCTGCATCTTGGGTTGCAATGCAATTTTTTAGAATTTTTTTTATGCCTGAAATTCACGTTTTCCCTTCGAAATATATTCCAAAGATCGTTGATATGACTATCACAGCTTGACCGTTAATTCCATTTTTCCATGCCTTTGTGTTGTACTATAAGTAAGGTTTATAGAGATTGGTATCTGACTCTGTGTTGATTGTGATTGATTTAGTAGTAATAAATTTATGTAACGATATTTATGTTCTTAGTTTTAGGATTACCAATAGTACACTTCATTGTAAAATATTTATCGGTTTAGTACTGTGTAGCTCATATTCGTTTTCCAGTTGGTATTGGTTCATTATGACAATTATTTTCAAAATGATCAAATCACCATACAAATCACTACATCTAGTTTCATAGTTACTTAATTCTTTAGTGTTAAGCTCTGCCAAACTTTGTGTTTATAGTGTAACATGTAAAAACGTTACTGTCACTGAAGACTACTACTCAGTAGTAGTAGTTGGCTTCAGAAACCAATATTTTGCAATGAAATCTTTTCAAGGTAAACTTTAAGTCATGCTCGAGAATATGTTTTAAATTAGTTGTGTCTGTCAATACAGGTCAATAATAATACCATTCTATTTCTGTTATAATTTTTTCAATCCATATTATGGTATGTAAGACCTAGTTCCACTGTCTGAACTAAAGAAAACAAAGTCTAATAAATTCAGAATGCGAAAAGTGGATTTTTCTAAAGTTTCAACAATCATTCAAATTGTTTATTCGTTTGTTTAAATCATAGTCTTTTTATCATTATGAATTCTAGTTTCTAGCTTTGTATTAGAGTGGTTTATTACATAACTTCAATTTTTTCATACAATGTTTTTGTTTATATGCAGGCTTTAAGTTATGCACGATTGAAAGCGACTGATTTTGAAAGAGCACGCAAAGATTATTCTGCTGCTTTGGATCAATTTAATTTATATCGGAAGGATTATTATTTTCGTTGTTTACCATCATGGGCACAAGTTGGCCAAAGTTTAGAAGTTGAGAGATATACACGTACACAATCTTTGATTAATATACTATATGAACGATTACGAGTGGCAATTGATCGCATGAACAGTGTATGCGATGAATTCAAATCTGTGTGTACACATCTTAATTCGGATCAAGTAAGTATTCATTTGATTATTATTATGATTATGATTATTATTATTATTATTATTATTATTATTATTATCAACTAAGATGGTTAAGATAATATTCTTGTCAAGAAGGGGCTTATGTTTTCGTTATTGATATTCAGGACTGAATTTTGATCAGTCTTTGCTGGCATATGCACATCCTGATTGGATTTCTTTGATACCTTTCACTTCGAATGGCACCACGTTATCTACTTAGCTATTGAGTCCACACAGCCACTGATAAATTCCAGTCCTAACGATCAGTGAGAAGATTCAAAAATCAATACAAATGTGTTGGTGTTGTGGAATGTTTGAATTGTAGCTTGCAGTAAAATCCTGTATGCATGTTTCATCTCATTTGGTATTCGTCAGCTGGATGTGCCTACATTCTTGTGTTGCTGTTCATACTGATTTTTTAATCCTGTACCTTTTGCTTCAAACACTAATACAGTATTCACCGAGATATCGAGTCCAGAAACCCATTTAAGATAAATATTTTTCTTTCTTAAAGAAATATTTATTGGAAAACAGTTGAGTCAGATAAATATCTTTGAATAACCGTACAATATCGTAGTGTTCTTGTGTTTTTAATTGTTTTCTGGGTAATAGATGGTTATCAGTTGAAAAACCTAATGATAAATAGAGGTGCCTCAATTACGTTTTGCTCATGTTCGATGCAGTGACTAGTGTTAGTTTCAATCTAAATTCACATACTATGGATCCTCTAACAGGACGGGAAAAAAGTTTTGGCTAACAAAATTAGCAATGGACTAAGTGAACAATTCATTTTTTTCAGGCTAATCATACTGTCTTACAAGTTGATTGTAACTGTGAGTTAATATTCATTACCAATAAGGGACTCAAGTGTAGCGCCCTTAACTTCCATTCATCTAGCTACAGTTTCGAAAAGTACTCTATTTACCAAAGTTTTTAGTTTCATTGTGGTAAGTGTTTCTTATTCGCCAACAACGAATTGATTTAAAAATCCGTGACATTGTCCATCGTTAATTCATGTGTATCGGTTGTTTGAATCTTCCCGGTTGATGTTTAAGACTTCATTCCACAGGCGAGTGGCTAAGTCAATAACGCTATGGCATTTGAAGCGAAAGGCATTGGGTTCGAGTCCTAGAGTGGACATCAACTCTGAGATGCAAACACATCCAACTGAAGAGTCCCAAATCGGATGAACCATGTGTCCTAGATTCCACTGCTATTCACTGTCCACCTCTGCTAATAATATTCTTCGTTGTCACCAAGTTTGCCATGTAACACTTGAATATGTCACTTCACTCCTATGGAATCACTGACATAACGTTTCATATCCATGAAGTGACAGCTATTGCACTAATTTTTTTCAATTCTGACAGTCTTCGTGATGGAAACCATTTTCAATAAAATAATCAATGCTTTGAAAATAATTGCCAGCCTGAATCATATTCCTGATTCTTAACTATGCCTTATTATTATAATTAATTGTGCCTGCAATTTCTGTTTACTCTACACAATCAATAAAATCTGGTTAAATTAAACTCTGTGACCTAATAAATTTACAGATTAGTGGTTGCATGCTCACAAGCTGACACATGTATATATATATATATATATATATATATATATATATATATATATATAACACGTACAAGTTATTCTACTGTGTTACAAATTATTGCTCCGAGCTTATTGTTTATGAATTGAATTTATGAGATTTAAAGTATGACAAAATTATCAGCCTACATACACCTGCTATCTGAATGTCAATTAGTAGTGGTTGATCTGACATCGACATTAATTGCAAACTTCACATATTAGCTGAACGATTGTGGACATTAATCAAGTTACTGAATTAATAATAGGTGAAGTAATACTAGGTTCAAGATTTGAGCGGAGCTAGTAATTAATTGTGTTCGCACCACTGTGATCGATCTCACACCAACCTCACCTTAGGTCTTCTGGCATAAATTACAATTGTCTAGTGGATGAAAGCCGAAAGATTTGCACCTACTGACACTCAGATCATCGATGTTTTGAAAGCACTTCTCGTGTATTTTGGGACCACTAAGTAAGTAATACGTTGGTTGAGGATAAAGTTTTCGGTAGGGATGGCAAACCGATCGATGGAGTAGTGAATATTCATCGGCTGTGATGGTTGGGACATATGTCATGTGTGTCCAACTACCGTCTACCTCGATGAGCGATGTTGTCTGGTGTAGGAAAGGGTTACGAGAAAACTAGAGACGGCCAAACCAAAACACTTCATCAGTACATAGATTTGTTGGCGATTGCACTGATCCATGTTAATAGGTGTACACTACCTGGTTGGGATCCGCATGATAATCATAACTAGTGGTTTGGGATTTCGAATGACATGGATCAAAATCGTTTGCGATGACGTAGGTGCATCAATCTTTTGTCTTCTCCCAGATTTTAGGCTTTTTATTTCTTCATAATTCCTTAATTGCACTCATTCATATTTTTAAAATGGTATCTTCGATCCGTAGTTATTTTTATCACCAGTGACCTTGTTACTACTTGTATTATTCTGATTGTTTCCCTAACCATTTAATCTTGCTGTGGTAATAAGTTTTGGAAACTTGAAATAGTCTGTCTGTACCAATGTAGTAAACTCAGACGTTAAGATCAAATGATATAAGTGATTTATTTGAAGAGGGCAGTTTGTTAGCCAGAATACTACACCTTATCTTCGAACATCCATTTGTAGAACAAGCGTATTCTTGGCTGTCTCCTTTCGCATGTCTCTTAGTATTAAAAGCGTTTTGGTCGCGCCATACATTCGAATCCGACACCCTTTATTTCAGCATTAACTTAGGGAGGCATCCCGCTGCATATCCACTATATAGTAATCATGAGTTTGTGATCTGACTGTTTCTAAATTGGTTAATTTTAATTTTTTTCAACTCTGTACGTTTGTAGCTGTCAAACACAAAGTCAAATAATAATAACATTAATATATGGTAATAATAATAATACTCCCAAATTTTCTCATGTACATAATTTTGTTCTTAATACAAATTAGGATTCTGAAGAAATCATAAAATACTTACAGAGCAATAATCCACCACCTGGAGATATCGCTTTTGTGGATTTGTATTCATCTTCAGTAAATAATAGTACAACACCATCAACTGTAACGCAACCAGTGTATGCAAAACAACAAAGCAATAATTCAAATGAACCAATTTATTCATCGGGTAGTGTAGTTCTTCCATCGAATTTTCATTGTTCCGTTTGGGCAGCAGATCATGCAGCATTGGCATCGAGTAAACAATGTGGTAATAATAATTATGCACCACCATATTCCATTCCTATTGGAGAAACAATCTATGGTGAATCCGGTTCTATATATTCTACATCTTATGCTTCCACAATATCAGCTAATAGTTCACAGAATGGTGTTGTCAGTGGTGTTGATAGTAACTTAAGCCGTCGTCCAAGTGCTAGTGATAATTATTCTACTTTAAATCTCCGCAATTCTTCTATGTCTATAAATGGTGCAACATTTCTTCGGAGGATTTTTTCACGGCGTAGTAGGGTAAGATTATCCATTTTGTGTACATATATATATATATGTTTAAAAATTAATTATTTTATCCTATTGAAGAGTTTCTTTTTCCAACAATTGATAAATAAATACAATTTTTCTCTATCCATATGACTGTTTTGCAGCTCTGATACCGATTTTCTGTAACTATGTGGTACGAATAATTAAAGTACTCTGAATTATTTTATTTTTTCCGTGAAAGCAGTGTTGATCCATCTTGTAAATGTTTCAAATTCATGTTTATCATTTGATTTTATGTTTTCGCAAGCACCGACAGCTCAATCTTATACGTAGTCCCGTCATATAACATGTATGGTTCAAAATTCGAGTGCATAAATTTATGTTCGTTTTGGTGAGATTCAGCAGCACTCAATTGTAGACTTACAAACAACTAAGTTTTGTCTTATTCTCTACAAATAAATGGTTTTATTTGTTTCCATATTTCTTGACTGACGTTTTCATTTTGTTTTGTTTTAGTTATTATATATTTTTAAATATATAAACCAGTTTCTTAGAAACCCACTTGTCTCGGGGCATTTTTTTTCCAGAGTGAAATATTCTGTATTTGTCCAGGTATAGATGCACCAGTGAAATACGGTTTCTCAAAGTTTATTCTTTTTCATTCACCTGGCAAGTGGAACCTTTGCATGAAGATAAATTGATATGTCGAAGTTTCATATTTGAAGCTCTAGCAAAAATACATAACTGTTTCGATTGCCTGTTATCTCTAGGAGGTTTAGCAGAGATTATTTTTATTATCAAAACTCATCGGTTTCATTAAGCTTCCTCCCGTTCTTTCATCTAAATTGAGAATAATTTATATTGAGAATAATTTATATATTGAGAATAATTTATATATATATTATCCTAACAGTAAATCACTTTAAATAATAATACAATGTTTCCACATATTATTTGAACACTAATGAAATCAGTTCACCCTGACAATAAAATAATCACTTTTACGTACAACATATCGGTATAGTGGATTAATAGAGATTGTATTATTTTCACAATTGAAATCACGCACTGATCCCAGCTAGAGCACCATCAAAAACGTCGAAGTACGGAACGGACATCTAGAGTACTATATATAGTCATTTTATATAATTTTTTTATTTTATAAAGTGTGGGAATAACCATTCCTTTTTTTCATGTTCAATGAAAGTACAGTATCTAGCATTTTTGGTCATCTCCCCGTTCATTTAAGGGTTAAATGTCTCTTATAAGCGTCTAATTCTCACTTGGGATTTCATTTCATTCATCTGAAACTATCCATAAATGTTTTCTATGAATACGCCATTGTAGAATATACAAATTTAACTGATGGAAAATAAAATAAAGTGAAAGTTGGAGCTTTAAATGAAATCCTCAACCGAAATTATGCTCTTGTTTGTAGCACTCATCCATTAAATGAACGAGAAAATGCACGAAAATTTTTGATCTCATGTACACATTGAAGATGTGCTAAGTAATCAGTCAGAAAGATGGTTGTTTTTTTCAGTGATTAATGAACATGTTGAAAAAATAATAGGTTTTAAATAACGGTTTCGTTCTAGTTTCTAGTTTATTTAACAATACATACTTCAGTGTCATTGAAAACGTAACACTGTCTGCATCATCAGGTTTCATAATAAAGGTTTCTGTAAATTTATAAACTAACGTAAACCATTAGTCGAATACTGCTTAATTCTTAATGTTTTCCATATGGTGTTTATTAAGTGAAATAATTTTGATAAATTGCATACCAGCTAATAAGTTTTTTAGTTTATTTACACTATTCTAAGCAATAAATTCTTTCTTTTCATCATGTTAAAATTGTTAATGTCATTCACCGGTTTAGTATAAAACCTGTTCTGAAACCTTTAATTCACTTTTTGACGACTCTATCCTGTAGTCAAAACCGAAATAAATATGACAGGTTCTGAACTGAACATTGATCAAATTTTCCGGTCATTGAGGTATAATTCAAGTTCTAATGTGGTGTGTACTATTCACAAGGAAGCTTATAAGTAGTATTCAGTGGGTTTGCAGCTTAGTATCGCCCTGAATTTTTTGCTGAAGCAAAAGATACTGAATGCAAATATATGGTGTAGTCAAAGTTTTTTCAATACTAGAGGATATGTGCTAGGAGATAGCCAACAGTTCTGCAAATGGATGTTTGAAGGTAATGTTTACACACGTTGCTAGTTAAACTATCTTCAAATAAATCCCTCAATCCAAATGATCTTTCCGTCTTCGTTCATTGCAACACTATGCTAAAGCTTATTAACTAGAATATCGAGATTTCAACCACTGAGCTTTGAATTCAAACCTTGCTTGATCTTTTTCGATTTCAATAGCCGGATATTATCACTAACTGTCATGTAAACTATATGACTCCAAAAAAACCAAATACATCAGCTCATACTCGGTAAATGATATGGTTATGTAGTGAAGGAGAACACAGGTGAGGGCAACCGAATTGTATTTAACGAAAATTATAGAGTTACTCAGTAAAATAGGACAACCATATCGTAACCGTTAATTTGCAAATCTTCAATCCATCATCAATCTATTGTCTGACATTTCACTATTCATGCGTTTCATACAAATTCCATTGTGTTCCCACTCTTCCTTTCTTGATCTTCCCCCATCTTCTGCTGCCAGACAGTACGTTTACACTCGCGTTCTATATTACTTATAAGTAGCGCGCACCACAGTTACATAACAATTTTTCACGGATTATTCCTTTTGGTCGTATCGAAAGATTGTTGTTCCGAATTCTTGGAAAAGTACACAAATAATATTTTTATAATTTATAACATAGTGTAATTTTATGTACTTCTATTGTGCGTGATTTTTCTCTGATTGTCTAAACTGTCGGTCATTTATTGATTATGATTATATAGTGAATTAATTAACTATTTCTCATACTGGTATTGATTCAATTGTCTCATATTTCATTGTGTGGTTGACTCTGTTGTTGTTGTTGTTGTTGTTGTTTTAGCTTCTCCTTCCACCCTCTTTCTTTTTTTTTCTCTCTCTCTCAGTATTTCATTGCGTTTTTTTACTTAAAAATATTCAATGTTCCTATAAATAAAATTCGGTTTAATTTAAATGGTATGTGTCTCGTAAAGAATTTGTGGTTTTTGATTTATGATTTATGCATTTTTATTATGAAGATAAACTTGAAAATATGCAGATAGAGGAAGGAAAGACGAAAGAAAAGTATAGTGAGAATGTTTTACATCTTCATATTTATTATCCCGTTTGATAATATCGATTTTATTGTTGTTTTTTTTGTCATTAATATTTTATTTATATTCATGTAAGTTTAGTTGTATGTGTGTTGTAAATAAATTCATTTATATGTGCACATTCAAGTTTATAATGAATAAACAACTCATCAGTTTGAGGGTTAAACGCTTCTCTGTTAGACCTGAAGGCCCTATGTTCAATCCATGGCTACTACCTAGGAGTGGTCACTTACTAGGGCGAAAGACATACCTAGTGCTGTTTATTTTGTTGATGAGGCGACTTAATGGCTGAAATACTCAACTCCGTGCTCGTAAATTCCAGATTCATACTCCTTCATACCTGATACAGCTTGTGTAATTGGCTAGTATTAGTTTTGGTAGTAGTAATAGTACCATCTGCACTCACAAATAGCTTAGCTGGAAGCTGATTACATCAACTTGTGCTATTTGGTAGGCGAATTGTACAGTAAGTTAAATCCACTAACTCATCAGCTAGCAGTGAATTACGAAAAATTAATTAATTGTGGAAGACAATCAATTATGTTATAAGAAGAGTGGTGCATAATTACTAGTTAATTAATGGTCGTCACAATGATAAACGTAACTTTAGATTAAAATTTTTCTGATCAAGTTAACTTGTCTTTCCATGTAGATATACTACTACTAGTTAGAGGTAGATGACAGCAATTTAAACCATTAACATTTTTATATCATGAATACTAGTGTTACTGTTTTAGTCGCTATAGCCATTATCAAAATTAACCATAACATCTTCCTATAGTATCGTTTTCCTATGCATTTTTATCTTATAAAAAAAAAAGAATAACTCATTTGTACCGTGAGAAAATAATGAATTGAAACCTGATATTAATCTGTTTTGTCACGTCATTATTGTTCAATGTGAGAATCAAATTAGCGTAGTTTAGCTATTATACCGATAATAATAATAATGAATTATGATAGAAAAGAAAACATGAACTATTGATAGATTATTGAAGTACCATTATAAGCTTATTTAAAACATGCTTCTTAATGAAACGCTTGTCTCGTGGATAAATCAGCTGTAATAATACTAATGACATTATTATCACCACATTAACAAGCAAATACAACTAATTACCTTGACCAAGTAACGTTATTGATAGATAGATTTAGCTTATTATTTATTCTATTTTCGTGTAATTCAAATAGACATTGACGATTAGTTCTGAGGCATCAGTAGTTTGTGTGTGACAATTGCAATGAGGTCAATTTCCTAAGGTGATTTCTTCATAACTCTTCATACACTCTTATGTGTTTCATTTCATGCATATCTTTGAATAAGACTCATGATATTTCTTTGGACAGACTTACTTTAAATTATGAAACAGCTTTAGTCGTAAATGATTTAAGTTCACTAACTTTGATTATTTTTTATCTTTAAGAAAATATCTTGTTGTAATACTTATCAGATATGCTTTGGTGATTGTTGCCAACAAACTGACCAATGTATTTCCCTATTGGTCGCATCTAACTGTTCAACAGTTGTTCAAAACTGGGTGTTAAGTGGAAATCGTAAATCTTCTGCGTAAATTCTTTGAGGATGATATTATGTTCTGTTAGCTAGGTAAATAACTCGATTAATTAAGTTTTCACTGTTGTCTTAAACAAGATCATTAACACAGAATCTATTTCACTATTATATGAAGTAATTACAATATTTAATATTTCACATATTTCATAATCAACATTTTCATAAGTTATATTTATGTT